TATTAAACGCGAATGACATTGCGCCTATGTTAGTGGATATACGAGTAAAATTGGATATAGGTAGATGAAGAAAATTTTATTTTCTCACGATGCCAAACATGTTTGCCGAACTGTCGCCTATACACTACTACTTCTGAGATATCTGTTGACAACATCATACATTCTGTAAAATATATTCATTCATTTTCTTCTTGCTGAGTACGAGAGGTTGGATGAGACTTTTGACGCCGCTAACCATTTTCAATTCCACTCAAATAATACCATATTTAACAGCTAAGAATAAGAATAATTCTGAAATATTTAATACTTTTAAAATGACCAACTATGCGTATAGCCATCGACATCATATTTAACAAAGTCCAGACAGTACTCACGCAATTCACTGCACACGGATATTAATTATGGTTTACATTTTACATGTTGTCAATATAGTCAAATGACAATGGTTTTTTGTTGCATGTTTTCATATGTTTTCAGAGTCATCATACAGGTATTAATTCTTCAGCAAAGAACGTTATAGTCGGCCAACCCTTAGATACACCGCTTTGCCTAATCCTGTAGTAAGTTTGGTAATAATTCAACAACAATTATGGTAATAATTCAACAACAATTACACATTATTTTCATAGCTTATCTTCATGAAGACCCGCAGGAGGATGCCTCATCACATAATGTGATCTAAATTCAGCAAATTTGATTTACTTACGAAAAATATTTTTACTTTTGTTATACATTTATATATTTAAATGACCCATTAGGTAGAAAAATTAATCTGGTAATATAAACAAAAAGAATTATAAACTGAAATTGAAATATTTGTACTAAATTAAGAGTAACAACCAAAGTTAGATCCACCACTTAAGTAGCCAGAATTAGATGTTAAACAATATAAATAATCGCAATGAACAATTCATTCCCTACAAGTATGAGAAAAAGGGGGAAGGGGGCCTTATCAAGACTGTGTAGAGAGCTTTCGCAACATAAGGATCATCAAATTCCTTTGACCACTTTTTAATGAACCCAAAAGCATATTTGCATAGAACCGATTTCACATGAAGATTAAATGTCAGGTTCCTATCAAAACCAAACAAATTAAATGACAACACTCACTGCAAAGGCTCACCATCTAACTTAAACATATATATATACAGAGACACACACTTACATTTCTTTACATTCAACGACGTCCCAATTACCTTACGCAAGGTAACAGGCACAACTGATGACTAACTTTGCCAAATACCTTACTAAGTTCAATATAAATAACATCTGTTTGTAGACCAAACTCGAATGAATCAAAGACGTGGTAAGCAAATTCTAAGAGACTAGCAACCGTAGATTTTCCGTTCGCAAGGCCATGATGGCAAGACGAGATAACTGATCTCTTTGTAACAAATTTTGCCAACAATTTAGGCAAAGTACTTAATTTCGCATTCCCCCTGTAATTATCAATTGACTGTCTACTGCCTACGGTAAAAAATCCGTCCATTCCCTCTTAAAGGCTGCCCTTTATATATTATATATTATATAGCATAAATCTGAAATTGTTTAATCGATGCTTTACGAGAAATCTACAAGTGCAGCCATCTACCGAAAAAATAATGGATTTCTTTTTCCCCAAACTAATATGTTAGGATGTAAAAAATAGGCGTTTGTGCTCGAAATTCACTATCACTAATTTTTTATTTAAATTTCTACTATGGACCAATTTTCATCCTAAAGTATTAAATATTGTACGTTTCTCTGAAAGGTTAACAATTCACGATAAATCTTCTATGGAGTGGTGTTCAAGAAATAGACAAGTGTGGTTCAATAAATGAACAAATGTTCATCGGAAACCTTAACAATCCTGTCTCTATGGTATACGGATTTACATTTCCTGACAATCCTTATGCGTTGAAAGTGGATCTAAATTGTCCAAATTAGGTAAAGTTAACTTGTTTATCATTTTCACCAGGAAATATTGAAAATTATACTTTTTTACTTCATAAAGATTCAGTTTCCGTACAAACGCTTATATGAAAAAACTACCCCAGCCGACACAAACTTTTCATATCAGGTTTGAATGTCGAAATACTATTACTCAGCGAGCTTTGTCGAAAAATTTTAAAAATTGAAATATTTTCCCATATAACGATTTTTGAAAGTAAGGTTTTATATGAGGCGTGATCGAAAAAATGGACCGATGTGAACCATTTTCAATAGCATTCATACTTGGGTCAATATGCGTCAGTGTACCAAATTTAAATAAAATGTTTCAAAAATTGCGACTAGGCAGTGTTAGATCCTTAAGTGTCCGTCATTTTAAGCTCCGTTGTGCTTGCTAATTAATAAAATAATAAAGGTAATCACCTAAACATAACGTCGACAATTGGCTAGTGAAATACAAAGTAAATAATTTAAACAGTTTATAACATTAACATCAAGGTAAACGTGTTCTTATTCAATAAGTCTAAGTAACATGCAACAGCTCCGCACGGATCTGATGATAAGTGATAATTTTCAATAAGGTTCCAAAATCAAAGAAATATTCGCTGGTAAGCCGGCGAGTTTATCCCGGCAATAGAAAATTGGTCCACCGAATTGGAATCAGAGTAGCCGACTTGCTGTATTTAATCGATTCTACAATTTTCAATGCAACTAAGTTATTTATGTGCTCTACAACTTTTTCTTTAACTACACGGGCGAAAAAATTTCGCTGCAATTGCAAATTTTTTTTCTTTTTATAACGATCAGGATAATGCTTGCAGAATTATGCTGACTAATATGTTAAAAAACTATTTATGCTTTGGTACGTGTATTACATCTTTACCCGGAAGAGAGAGTCAGCGTATGACAACAACCACAATTGCATTATCGTTGTATGTTCTATTCTATTTCACAATTTAGGGTAATTTTTCCGTTTGCTCTATGGTACCTACGTGTTTTAATGCTGATCAATAAAGGCGATCAATGCGTACGCTTAACAACATATATACACAACTTATTTGTTTACTACATTCCTTATATGCACAAATCATTTTAAAAGTTTACTTAGTTTTTGATAGAATAGTATAATAATAATAAAATAATAATAATAATAATAATATTATAATAATATTATTATTATTATTATTATTATTTTTTTAGTCTAAGAATTCAATTCATTAGTCTAAAATTAAAATAATAATAATAATAAAATAGTCTATTTTCCAACGTTGACGGGTAAACACTGTCTCTTCATTTTTCGGTTCTCTCTGTCATTCTTCCTTCTTTATCCGTTTACGTTGACTTTCACACATTACGAATTTGCAATTAATCATTAAAGCAGAATGATATAACGCTCCTACTAGTAGTCTTATATTACATGTGTTTTATATGGTAACTGTGTGGTTAAATATGTTTCATTATATGCAGTTAAAGCAGAAAGAAATTAAAAAAGGAATTGCTATAGACTTGGTAGGTACTTCTTAAGATGATTCTTACACACTAACTTTGTTTTATCGCTAGAAATTTCAATAGTTACATTAGGGTTGTTTTTCTTTATTACTTTGTAAGGACTATATATAGAGAGGCTCATTTCTTCTTGTACGGTTTTCTAGTAGGAGTACTATATCTATTTTTAGCCACATGATTCACAAAATTTAATACAGATTCTTTGAACCATTCGGCAAAATCAACCAACAGTACGGTAAAATTGAAGTTTTACTTTTGCATTTCACCAAAGTATGGAGATGTTGGAGGACTATTTTCTTAGTCAGTTTCATCATTAAGGCATTTCCAGTGGACAATTTGTAAATTAGACTAGTTCAAAAACAGGTCTTTTAATTCTGCTTGTAACATTGCCTGAATAGATTATTCTTGGCTTAGTGCTGGCAGAACGCTTTAGATCGGCTAGAAACGATCATGTAAATAAGTTAAGAAAAAGTTCTAAGTGGGGCACATATGTTTAGAATAAATAAATACGCAAAGGTAGCATTTTATGGCTAGACTGCATGCTATCAGTAAAGAAATTACCCATGATATATTGCATGTGCCTTGATTTGAAATGAACAGTAATGTTTCCGATATTGCTGAGTCGGTTGGTAGCAAAACAGTTACAAACAAACCGGCAAGTCCATCGGTTTTAAGCTACGCTGAAGTGGCAAGGGTATCTCCGCCCACAGCCGCCAGTCACTCTAATCAAGTGCCATCGCCTAAAAGTAATGAAGTGAAAAATAAGTCATCCTCTCCTCCTGGCTGTTCGCGTGTGAATGCTGGTCACCAGACTGGGCAAGTCTCACAAGCTGCCGGTACAAGGGCGATA